TTTATATTAATACATTATTGATAATTACAGTTTCTTAGTACATACAAATTTTTATGAAATTTATTATATTTGAACTATAGGATAATAGTGCTTATAAACAAAGTTAAAAAAAAACCCACACACAAAACAACCCAAATGATACCTCAAGAAACAGCATGTACTTGCATTTGGTTTTAATTAATTAGGGAGTAGGAAGGGCTATACATTTCTTTTATACCTTTCATGAATTATTGAGATTCTTTGATAATGTGCCAGGAAAATGCATATGTACTTCATATATAAAGTGTTATCTACCTATAAAACCTCATGTCATTCTAGCTGAGGTATGGAATGTTCTATTGGAAATGTTATTGTTACTGTTTAATATTTCCATGCATTAGGAGGAAGAAGTGATTTTTCACACATGCATGTATTTTATGATGATAGTGCAAAAATGTGCCCTTGGATGTGCTTTCAAACCACCTAAAGCAGACTTTTCAGCAAAGTTAGGGGTGCTTAGCATCTGCCTCTAACTGCAGTCTACATGCCATCATGCACTCTGGCCATGACATTCCAAACCAGCAGTTGCCAAGGGCAAACAAGATAAATGGGCCCAATGTGAATGGCAGAGATCCAAATGACATCTGAGTGGCGTTGTCCTCCCTGGCTGGATTCTGTTCTCACAACCAAAAGGCTGTTAGTGAAATCTGGTCACCAGTGGCTTTATCCAGGCATAAAAAAAAATCTACTCATAAAATTTTGTAAGCATAAATTAGATATAAATTTATGGAAGCAAAAGATCTAAATAAGAGGTAAGACTGATAGCCATTAATAGATAAACCTATTGATATTAGTAAATACATATTTTTGCTCAAATGTATCCACTTTTAGTAATTATGCCAATGTGATTTCAATAGCTCAGTTACATATACTCCAGTCAATATGAAAGATAGAGTGTTGTACCAACAACCTATTTTTTCTTTGACTTAGCTTTTATTTATCTTCCTTTTTAGTATATAAAATATATACATTTTAATATTTATATAATGCCAGCTATAAAATACTGTTGTTTTTTCCTTCACTCCTGGGTATGAATACTCTGACTCATTTAAGGATATGAATTATACAAGCCACAGACTCTTCCTTCCCTATTACATAGGATGCAGGCTTGCCTTTTTGTATTTGCAATCTGTATGCTGAATAAATTGGTGTATTTCTTTCCCTTGAAGAGGCTACATATTTCATACATATGTGGCAGTTGTAGGTACATATGTCTGCTGTAGGTAGAACTCACATTCATCGCAAGTAATTACATAGGGTTATAGTGAGCAAAATGAGTTGATAAAAATGATAATGCAAGGCTCTATATGTATTCATTTGCAATGATTTCCACATCAACTTCACTCAGTTTATAAATCTAAACATTAGTTCCCTTGCTGTCAGCACTTCAAACTCCACCTGGGATCAGTCAGCCAAGCTGTGCTTTCTGCCTCCTAGAATCATCATGCAAAATAAAGATTCTGCATTTGGAATGTGGCTGACAGGTTGGTTGATGCTGCACCAGACAAAAAGGAATGCACTTTTCCTCCTCAGCTGCATAAGCTCCTCTGTTTCACAGGCGTATTGCTTTTAGTAAGAAAAGCAGATGTGACTTACGGAGCAGGGACCAGGAGGTGGGAGGGAAAGAGCTATTGTTTCATAAGCACATTTTTTATTGCAACACATTCTTTTTCAGCTTGTCTCATGAAGTATTAAGATTTTTCTGGTAATCAATAGCTAACTAGGTCTGATATTTTTATTCCTGACAGAAAAAATATGCAAGTTTTGCAATTTAAATGAAGAATGTGATAAAAAATTTGCCAAATAATCAATTTTGTTCATTTTATAATTATTTCACTTTTCTTCCTTCCTTTCTCTCTCTCTCTCTCTCTCTCTCTCTCTCTCTCTCTCTCTCTCTCTCTCTCTCTTTCTTTCCATTCTCACTTTTTTCTTTTTTTCCCCTGTAGCACTGACTGGTGGGATTTATCAACCTTTTTTCTTTTTTATTAATTTTTCTTTATTGTTGAACATATTACAGATGTCCCCTTTTTTCACCCATTAACCCACTCCACCCTGCTTCCGCTCCCTCCCCAAACCATTCACCAAACCATTGTCTGTGTCCATGGGTTATACATATATGTATATAAGTTCTTTGATTAATCTCTTCCCGCCCCCACCCCATCTTCCCTCTGAGAGTCATGAGTTCAGTCTGTTCCATGCTTCTATTCTCTGTACCTATTTTGTTCATCAGTTTATTTTGTTCATTAGATTCCACATATGAGAGAGATCATGTGATACTTGTCCTTCTCTGACTGGCTATTTTGCTTAGCTTAATACTTTCCTGGTCCCTCCATGCTGTCTCAAAGGGTAAGAGTCCACCTTTTTTCTTAAACATGCTAGTCATGTGTTACTTATCTCTACATCTAAAATATTAAATTCATGAATTCTTTTCTACTTGAGGCTTTGACTATCATTCATTCATACATTTCTGTTTTCTCTTGAATGTTCATATTTCACAAAAAATTACCATTATATAATGGCATTTATCTTTCACTAATAAAACCTGATACCTTGAAAATATAAGGACTTCAAAGAAACACCATTCAGAATTAGGTTGCTAGTTGTCTATAACGAAGAGATTGAGTTTGTTAACTAGAAACCCAGCCTACAGTGGGTTCAGCTGGGCATCTAGAATTATTGTTAAAGGTACAACAAAGCAGTGAGTTGATCACATACACAGCAGTTAGAAACTTATTGTATTGGACTCTAGGTACCTGTAACAAGGCTCCAAAAGGAAATGTTTCATAAAGGAACTGTCCCATTTGTATATTGAAAGCTTACTTTTGAATCATCCTCTCTACTATTTCCCCTTCTCCTCTTCTCTGAAATACAAGTTAATCTGTTTATTTAGATTAGATAGCAGATCAAATAAAGAACTATATAAGAGTCTGAGCAGCTGAGGAGGTTAACCTGCTGTCGAAGATGGAAAAATAAATTAATAAAAGTGATACCTTAGCAATATATAAATATATTTCTTTTTGTTTCTTACCTGCTACATCAAAGATAAAAGCATCCTGGATAAGTTACTTTTTAACTTAGTAAATGTATTATTAAATTAGTATGTACCTATATAATTTTTACCTTACTAGTGAGAATATTTTTATAAGATTTCATTACATCTTAAAAATACCCCCTCACCCAAGAAAGTGTCCATTTTAAAATGAAATGAAATGCATATCTCTTAATGTGTCTTTTAGGGCCTACTGCTCTTGTACTGACCCTTTGGAAAGTTAGTTTAGTAAACAGTTATCCTGGACTAAGTTCTGCACTTTGCACAGAGCGAATTCAAAGAATCAAAAGCAAAGATAATCGAGCACAGAGTCAATGAGCTGTACACTGGGAGGGGTTCCTTGGCTATGATTTGTCTTGGGTTACCCCCACTCCTGTTTTCTCATGCCTTTGGGGATCACGTGATAACACCTTGGGGAGACACTTCTTCATTTTTTTCTCTTTCCTTTTGAGCAGTCAAGATTAGAAATGCATTTGTGGCTGTTTCTAACAAATTCGCACTGACCAGACCGACAAACTGATCTCTCCATGGAATCACAGCATGAATGAAAAGCAAAACAAAATAAAAACCAATTCTAATGGCTTTGGTAAAAGAATTAGGAATTGGTGATGGTGGGGTGGCCTGGTACAAACTGGTACTCACTAAATATATATGGAATGAATAGAGGAATAAATACTTAACTATTAATAACTTAAACAACTTGTGGGAAAGGCCCTGTGGCTCATATTTTATCCACAAAGGTGTTATTTAGTCATTCAATAATTTTTTACTAGGCACCTATCCCATGCAAAGCTGTAATACCACTATAGGGAACACTAAAATAGAAAAATCTATACTAATAATAGCCTAGGTGGTAGTCATGCCCTCACGCTGTGATGCCCTCATGCCATCACAATCCTACAATCCATCACCAGGAGGCTGCGTGCTCAGTGGGTACATTTGAGTTGACAGGGACTTGATGCTGTGTGCATGGCACGAAGGCAGGGCCTGGTGGCCGCTTTGCACAGCAAGACCTGGGGGTCCCTGTGGCCGCTCCATGCGGCCAGGCTTGGGGGTCCCACTGTGGGACCCCCAGCTCTGGCCTACCTCTTTGGGGCAATCCATTGAGGAGCCCCAGATGGGTGGGTGGGGCCTACCTCTTAGGGGTGATGGATCACAGAGCTCCCGCACTGTGAGAGGGCACAGACCAAGCTGCCCCCCCCTCCGCCCCCCAGTGCACAAATTTTATGTATCAGGCCTCTAGTTAGAATAAAATAGACACTAATAATGGAATTATAATATTTGCATGATTACTAGTATAAAGTGGAATGAAAATACTACAAAACAGATGCAAATAAAAGAAGTGTGAAGATAATTGTTAGTTATTCTCTGTGATGGCTAATGCAAGTCTCCCACAGAATCAATCACACTCTTAATAAAAGCTACCACAGTTGACCCTTGAACAACATAAGAGTTAGGGAATGCCAACCCCCTGCACAAAATTCCACGTATAACTTTCAACTCCCTCAAAACTTTCGTAATAGCCTACCAATAATATAAACAGTTGATTAACACATATTTTGTTTATGTACTTTATACTGTATTCTTATAATAAAGTAAGCTAAGAGAAGAAAATGTTACTAAGAAAATCATAAGAAAGAGAAAACATATTTATAATATTCATTGAAAAAATCCACATGTAAGTGGATCTACGATATTCAAACCCATGTTGTTCAAGGGCCAACTGTACTTATTAACTACCACCACGAAGTGCCTGCATGCACACAACAATCCAACAAGGAAAGCATCATTGTTCCCATTTTATAGGTGAGGAAATGGAGGCTCAGTGAGATGATTAGGAAACTTTCTCCAAGTCACATATTTAATCAACTCTAGATTCATTGTCTCACACTGTTGCAAGAGAGGCACCTACCAAGCTCCTGCCTTTGCCTCTCTCCTCTTTCTGCAGCCCGGGCCTCTTCACCTGACTTGAAAGATGGGTGATGTCCCCTCTGACTCCACCCAATTCTTCTCTCTAGAAAGGGGAGAAATAAGAAACTGTAATGCAACACTTTGAAACTCAGCTCCAAGTTACTTCCAATGCTTGTCCAAGAGAAACAAAAGAGCTCTGAGTTTCTTCCTTGTCCCTATACCCAGTATCCACATAATTTTTACCCACTTGTTCCCAGTGACCCAGTTCTGCCTAGGACTGGTGCCCTGGTTACCTTGGGCATCTCTTTCTTTGGACTGGAATGCTTCCCTTGAACTCCAACCAGGAGTCTGAGGCACTGCCACCTGACCACAAAGTTCACTGTGAGTCTCCTAGCATTGCCTGCTTGGATCCCTTGGGCCTCTAGATTCCCTAACATGGAACACGAAGCCTTTCTAGTGGTTGTGTATGTAATCAACTTACTGATTTATTGGTTCCTGCTCGTCTCTCCAGCCTCACCCTCACACCCCCGTACCCCAGTCATACTGAGCTACTTGCAAATCTCTGAATTTGGCCTGTCCTCTTTTTCCCATAGGACTTGGAAGCATTTCTCCCTTTATCTGAATACTTTTCTTCACTCTTCCCTGATTGTCTGGGCCTGCCCTTATTTAGAGATCAACTTAGATATCACCTCCTCCAGGAAGTTGGCCTGTGCTTTCCCAAGGCACCCTGGGTTGACTCCTCAGTCTTTCTACTAAAAGAAAGTAGAGGCCATCATATTGTACTTCCAGAAACTCAGCCAGGACCTGGCACATAACAGACACTTAAATATTTTTTCATTGATGTAAACAACTTATAAGGCAATTTACAAGGATCATAAAAATCAATCAAGCAGTGCGTGAGTGACACTGGCCTCCAGGGCCCTGTTCTTTGAGACACTAATTTCCTCCTTGACGCAGTCAGTATTCTAATATACTAGCTGGTTCTCCTGAACCTTTCAGGCAACCCTGAGATTTTAGTTTCAGTATGTGAAATTCTCCAATGCAGGAGAATGATTCCAACTCCTAGCTGTTACAAGGACTTAACAGGGTACATTAGTATGATCTGCAGATGAGGAAACTGGAATCTAGACAAGTGTCAGATGCTGTTAAGATGAGCCTCAGCTAATGAAAGATTTGAATTTATGTTCGAGTCATATTTCTACTGAGTTAGAATGTCAGCATTTGGGATATGTTGCTAATTAAGATGATGAAGTCTTACGACTGGTAAAGCCTGTGAGTCTTACACATGACAAAGCATTTCTTAGAAATTAAAAAATGATTTAAATAGATATATCCCTAGGAAAAAAATCTGTCTTCCACAAATGGAAATAATAAAAACCACTAAATTACACTGTTGCATAACCTGGAAGGTAGCAGATTTATAGCTTCCACTGTTGACAGGTCACCTGTCACCCCTCCGTGTCCACAGTATGGGCTATCAGTTTGCTGTGTCTCTGAGCAATGCTATTCTGAGAAGGAAGAGAATCTCTGTCTGGGAGTGGTGATGGCAAACCCAGAAGATGTAATGAGTATCGCGTGTGGAATGGAGCCATAACAAAAGGCCTAGAACGCTGAAACATGGCAGGAGTTCTCTGGCCACATTCTCAAACGATTAGGAACGTTCTGTCCTTTTACACTGGTGGAAATCTATCAGTCTCTTTTTAATGGAAGGAAAAGATTCCTGTGTTGTATGTTGAATTTGTGTTCCTCGAGGCTGAATTTGCATACGCAGGAAGCTTTTTTTAAATAAACAACTCCTGGCTATTATTGGATGAAAACAAAGTTTTGAAGGTCTCTGGTACACACAGGCTGGCACTAACATTCATTCCTCATTCATTCATTCAGCAAGGTTGTAGAAACCTAGATTATGCAGGCACTGTGCTGGGCACTGGAGATCCTGGAGATCCTGTAGTGTGCAGTGAGCAAGGCACCCCTGCTGCTTTCCAAGGGCCTTAGAGCCCTGGGAGTGGGGGTGGGGGCAGTGGAGGGGATTGCTTGGCATTAACCAAGGGGAGTTCTTCCTTTTGACCCAAGTCTTCCTTTCTGGATTCAGAAGGTAAAATGGTCCCTCAAAAATAATACAAGAAAGAAAAAGAAAACCCCTTCTTTTACTTAGCTCTATGATTTTCTTCTTCAATAAATTGAGAATTCTCAGCTGGAACCGGTAGCTTTCTGACCACCAGCGAGGGGAGATTCATAGTGCACCCTGTCAGGGAACTTGGGCACATGTGGCACCTCCCACGCTGCTTGCATTCCCCACGAGGGCCCTGTGCTTGTATGAATTCATGTGCAGAGCAGGGAGACATTTCAGGCTTGGATGAACTCAAGAGAGTGTTTAGATATTTGAGTTATTCTTTAGTCTTCTTTAAAGTGTAAAGGGAAATACATTTCATCCCATGAAATACATATTCAACCTCTTTTATTTAATTGAGTTCATGAGTCAGTTTCCTGTTTTTATTTACTTATTTGGTAGTTTTGAGGAAATGTCTCTATTTTACTAACCACTTTAAAATCCTCCTCCAGATTAAGATCAACATCTGAGGCTATAATTTAAATCCCAGAAAAGGTAGCAAGTAAAGAATCTTTAATTTATGAAACTGAACAAGTTGGCTGATCCAAACATCTCTAGGGCTTTAGTGGGGGATATCTGTAATTCCCTGAATTGTATTCCTTTCACAGTGATATTTTGTAATTCCATTCTATTACCCTTGCTTAACATTAATGAGATAAAAAGCTCACATTATGGCGATTGATGTTCTTCAAATTGAATGCACGTTTCCATGTGCAAAGCTGTCTGCTAATTTAAAAAACATAGCATGTAACATAGAATCATGACCATGGTCATCACTCAGCTGGGACCAGATAGCGTTTTTTTTAATCTATTCATTGGATTTAACAAGGCGGGAGATGGACGCAGAATACAAAGTGTGGGCAGATTACCCCTTATCCCTCCTTTTGGCCAATTCTTGGCAATCTCAGCAAGGAAACTGAGGCTTCATGTTTCCATGGAAATAAACCTCAAGGTCAAAGGGGCATATGGAAGGTCAGACAATGACAAAGGGACATCTGAGAGGCCATCTGGATGAGTGACCTGACATAATTAGCCATTAATCCCACTCTGGGGAACAATAGAACTGGCAGAGAGTGTGTTTGGGCTTTGATCGTGGTCTGGGTGATCTCATAGGGAAGAGAGAAGAAAGCCCCACTTGGTAACTAAGCAGATTACCCTGGCATGCTGTTAACTAAAGGCGGGGTGGCCGAGGAGGCCAGTGGGAGACGCATTTTACATATTAGACTACATTTCCCTTTACTTGCCACAGGCTCCTCTAGGGCCATGTGGCTTTCGGATTAGCTTCTTGGGTAGCATTTTTTACAGTTTACAATGGAAAGAGAGCAAGAGTCCCAAAATACGTTGCTTAAAATTCTCAGGCAACAGATGGGAAGATAGCTGGAGAGCCAAAGGCATTAGCCAGCTTGGTTTACAGGTGTCAATATTTACTTAGTAAAGTTTGCCTGGGTGCCTTTTGGGAAAAAGCATAGAGAATCGTTAATCAGTAAAACAATAGCAATCAGTCCATTGTCTGTTTTTAGCAGACTGGTTAGAGTTATAAGCTGTCTTAAATGGTAAGAAGTACTTATCGGCATCTGTCTTTCTCTCTGGCTCCGCTTTTTTCATGTTTATTAGTCTTAGCTGACTTTGATCTGTTACCCCTCACATGTAGTTAGAATCCTTCTATTTGAAGGGCTGGTGATGTTTTGAGATTGATTGTGTGCATTTTTGTAGGATGCGAACATGCTAGCAGTCTTTATAAATGCATGTATTTCAGCAACTGCTGAAATCTCCCTCTTCCCCCCAGAGACAACTGATTATACTTGCTGTGCAAAGAATGGTGGCCAGATGAGCTAGTAAATATATTGGACCAAAGTCTCTTTATTAGAACAGCTTTGTGAATAATGAAATTTAAAAATTATTGTGAGTTTTTTAAATTCTGTCATTTGGGTGGTATTTTCTGGCAGATGACATGTGGGGCAGCAGAAAGAGCTGAGAGTGGGGAGATGAGTCGTATTGTTGTCCTAACTCTGCCACTAATTTGCTATGGAATCATCTTGCAAACATTTCTTTATCTGTAAAAGGATGGGTTATATTATGTTAGGGATAGCTAATATGCCTTTGTTCTTGTCATGCTAACTATGATATACACATCCACTGAAAGTGAAAAAGACTCTGAGAGGGATCTACGCTTAGTGAGAAAGAGTGATTAGTAACGTCTGCTGTTGGTGTGAGAAGAGAAGTGGCAGCAGGGACAGTAAATCTCTAGACTTGATCATCTTATATACCACTTTTTCTATTTTGGAGAATTGTGGGGGTGGATTATTTACAAAAATATTTTGAACACATTATTGGTAATAGTAGTAGTAGTAGTAGTAGTAGTAGTAGTAGTAGTAGCAGTAGCAGCAACCCAGGCCTCCTGCATTAGGTATGGTCTAGAAGTTATGGTGATGGGAAAATCAAATTATCTTGGTTGCCAGTATTTAACTATGTTTACTCAAGTAGAATATGGGCACCTAAGTCATAGGCTCTACTGACAAAATCAAGATGTCAAATCAAGGCTGAAGTTATTTTTTTATATCTTGCTTAGGATTTGTCTCCCTTATTCTGTTTTGACTTGTGATCATTTTTTTCTCTCTAATCAGTGAAAGAAAATCTCTTAAATGGTGCCATAAACAACTATTACTTGGTCTTGCTTCTTCTCTCCATGACCAAGGTGAATTTTGAAAGTATGTCTTGAAAAATTTAACTGTAAATTCAGATGCATTTTGAGTTGGCTAATAATCCTCTATGGCTGTTTGGAGTGGCTAGACAGAGATTACACAGTTACATGCCCATGAAAGGTTTAAGTCCCAATGAGAAGTGTGCACATAGAGCTTTCTGGATTTCTTCCTGGATGCCTTTCACTGGGAATGCCTTGTCCCTTCATCCCGTTATATCAAGGGTCTGTGTCTCTACTGTGACTTATGAATTCCCGTGAGTAATTTACTCAAGCATTCTCACTGATACAAAAAAT